TACGTACAGTACAAGGTCACCAGCTGCATTTTGTAAATGTGTTAAAAATAAAATGGATGTTAGTCATGTCACTTCTTGCTCAGCTGTCAGAGTCGCTGATGCACAGTATTATTAGTGGGCAGGCGCTCCAGGTACTCATTAGACCTTCACTTAGCTGCACTGCACTTCTTCCCTATAGCATTAAAACCACACGGCAGCCACATTTAGGATTACACAACTGATCATTTGACATCGGAACAATGGTCGGATGGCTGACAGTGTTCGCCTAAAATGTCCCACGAAGCCCTTCAGGGGCCGGATTTCACCACTCAACTGTCAACAGTTAAGGGCGAAGTGACAAGAGCCAAGGACAGAATATTTTTGCCTGTTTTAACGGTGGGAAAATATGGCTTTAATTTCTCTACAATAGGAAGTGACCCTCCGCGGGTGTTCATCTATAAATTCAAATAATCTTAACGTGACTTAAGTTTTTTTTAATGTGAAATGAATCTCTGGGGCAGCATTACTCCCCGGCGTCGATTTGAGGCAACATTAGTAGAAGTAGATGAGTGTGTGAATTTTGCTGCGAATACAGTGGAGCCTAATTACTGGTTACCTGAATGGGGATTGTTTTCTTTCACCATGAGAATTCTCGCTTCCGCTTAATCCTCACACACTCTACCAGTGCTGCTCCCCCCCCCCCCCTCTCTCTTTATCACTGTTATCTGTCATTATGTTAGGCCGTCGGAGTCCCTGACACACATGTTGCACCTTTTCAGTAACAGCCACGCATGTGCCGTCAGTGTTGTTCACTCAATCTTGTTCTCGGTAGCGTTGCGTTCAAGGACGCCGATTAGCTCGCTGGGCCGGCTCACTCTCACTCTATCGTGGATGTGCTACATCTCATCTAACTTTACGTCCAGCGTTTTTCTCTCGCTTATGAATTGGCTTCATAAGAAGTGTAGGTTAACTTGCAACGCCTGCAGCACAACCCGTCAGCCATTTAGTCTGTGTTTTCAACAAGGAATCATTCATAGTTTATTTGCACAGGAATGAGCCTCAAGTAATTGCGCGTGAATTTAGGATTTAGAAACCCCGTGGAAATGAGTCCGGTCTAGTCTTCTGTCTAGACACTGTGTCTTTGTTACAGTACGCTCGATTGTTTTGTTTATTTATCCTGTCGACCCACAGAACCGACAGGATTGCGCAGTTTGCCAGATTCTGAGAACATGCTGTACGGGGCCTTTTAAGTGTTACTGGGCCGTTTTCATGGTGCCACAGAAGAAACACACCGTTATTTGTAGGGCCACGCGTGTAATCTAGACATCTTTCCATTAGCCCGTTGCACAGTTCTGCAGCTTTTCCTGGAAGCCTCACACAGGAATAATGACTACCCTTCAGCCAATCCCAGCGGAGCAGTCTTGCAGAGCAGCATAGGGGACACTTCATTTCCCAGTATTCCCTGTGTACTTAGAGAGCAGCCGTGCGGCCTGGGTGGGGTCCTCTTCGGCGTCACTTATCTCCATACCCGCAGCTCTTGGGCGGTGCTGCAACTCTGGGTCTGGTTGTAGTTCCCTTTGCATCACAAGATCTACTTTTGAGCACCTCTCAGCTGTTCCCCGCTGTGGGCTGGACTCTCAGTCAGCTGATACATTGCTTTATCCAACTGTACGTGTTTTTTTTTTAAATAGTGGGAAATGCCATAACTCAGAAAATCAACAAATAATTGCATTTTTGTTCAAATAAACAAGTTGTCAAATGATCAAATCGGTCACCAGTCAGTTTCTGTTGAACACTCAGCTCCACCTTAAACTAAATGACTTGTATTGCCACTTTCTTAAGTCCCTTCCTGTTGCCACGGTTTCTGCAAACCATTGTAAACAGAATCATTGTGATGTTTTGAGTGTCAACCAAAAGACACCGGCTGCCAGAGGAACCCGGGCCGGAGACTTCCGACCCGTTCCTTTTTTTCTTTCAGGTGGGAAGGTAGTGATGTCACGCTGCTGCGTCTTCTCCCCCGCGGGAACAAACGGCCACATCGTCTCCTCCGAGTCCCGGCCTCACCCTGCTTCTCTGGCCGCTGCATCATAAACACAATCCCACTCTGCTCAGCAGCGGGACTGATGACGGGAGTATTCTTCAGTTTGATAAGCACGGCTGGAAAAGCGCTGACTGAGTATGAGAAGGCTACTTTTAGCGTGCAGACTGGGAAACTTGCAGAGGGCGAGTGCCGAGGGGTGGGGGGGGGGGGGGGTAATGAGAAACCCGTTATTAAGATGCGGGAGGGTGTGGGACTCTTAAATATAAACTCTGAGGTGTATAATTCCAGCCTTAGTGAATGCTTTGCATGTGATCTTTGCCTACCTCAACGTCATCCGCCAATACTTTACTACATGACAAAAAGCACCCCCCCCCCCCCATCCGAAAAGCCCAAGGCACTCAGAGGGGACCACACATACTGTACAGTTGACAGGACTGTCTCTTCTTTGAGCCGTTTAATAGGCGTTGTTTGCATTAGTCAGCAGCGATTTTAGGAGTTTCCTTTGAGTCTGAGCGGCAGCAACGCCGCGTGCAGTTTTTCATCTCGGAGTGTTGCTGGTAATGCCACCGACTCATAGAGGCTCCCTGTTCTAATGAATCGCATGTGCGTGAGTGGGCTTGTGTGTGCAAGGTACAGTGGAGCGCGGGGGGCTGTGCTGATCTGTGCAGTAGGTGGTCCCGGCTGCTGTGTGTTTTCATAGGGTGGGCCGTGTAAAAGAGGGGGTCTCTTTCTGATCCCTGGAGGTACCGTTTTTTTGTGCTCGTATATGTGCGTGGTGATGTTTAATGCCCCACTCTCTCTCTCTCACACACACACACACACACGCACACACTAGGGGGCCCTCCCATAGAGTTTCAGTCAGACCGGTGCTGCTGGTAGTGGCTGGCATCACATCACAGGGGCTGAAGTGACTCAGTGGGGATGGTTTGCCTGCAAGAATCAGTGCCGGTGGGATTTAAGTGCCTCTTCCTGATTCAGCGGCCTCCTCCTTCTACCCCACATGATGCTAATTTGGCGCCAGTAGACTACTGGCGCCAAATTACAGCATTATAAATTCTGTCTTTAATTTCATCAAAAAAATTCAACTGTGGAGATTTCATTTTTGGGGGGGTTTCTTTCTTGTGTGCAGGTGGCATCCGAAGGCGCCAAAGAGCTACTTTTCAGCCTCGCTAGCTCGCCAATTGGTTCTGAACAAAAAGTCATTGGTGCAGAAGTGCAACAAACAACAGTTTGCACTTCAGTTGCAGCGATGATCTTAACAAAGTTGTGAAAACACAGTAAAGCGTGTGGTCAAGCTGCCTCAATTTAGCCTTAACAAAGGTCGCATGTTGCAATGGTTCCTTGACAGTCTCCCAGTTGACGATAGAAGAGCATCCGTTGGACCACATGCCTTGATTAACCGAGCTGCTCCCAGCTATTCTCATTTGACCAGAGTCTGCTTGGCGCTGTCCTGCCCGAGCAGAGGGCCACGTGCATTGTTTGCACTGTTAGCGCTATTAGCACCCATAGCAGTGTCTTGCGCCTCCTTTAATTCAAGTCATAGAGTATTTGCTTTTATGTCTTTGCGAGAAGCAGCTCTCAGAGGCGGAACTCGCTGCAGACCTGCCGTGTGAGGAGTGTTTGCATTTCGCATGTTATCTCCTTAGTCATAGTTTTATTGCACCAGCAGTTTCTGAATTGTATTTAACATTGCCCAATTTGTGAACAACGCAATCTGGTTTGCTCAGTAGCACCAGGAAGTTCTAGTTCCTATCACTGCTGCTCGGAAAGACTTGAGATGTTGTACGTAGATGTTGGTGACATTTTACACTTCATGGCTAAGCTGAGAATGTTTCCTGAGGAGGTTTTGTTGGCTTCGCATTGTACAGAATGTCTCACTACCCTGTAATCAGTAGCATTTGACCTCTCGGAGTCTTCTCTGGCTGGGTTTCTCACGCAGTGATTTGCTTATCTTTAGATGGAAATAAAACTCTTTAATCAGCCACTTCCATTCAGAAGTCTAAAGATGGAGAGTTTCCTTCCCTTCGTTTTTCCCTTTTTTTTGTTGTTTTTTTTGTTTGTTATTGTTCCTCCCTCCATCAAAGCTGCAGCATCCGATGCAGTCTGGAGGCGCTCCACCCTAAAGGGACAACTGGGTGCTCAGGGGTTCAACATAAAAAGTCCAATTTTATGTTTTGCTTGCCTTTGAAAAGTTGACTATAAAAGGCAAATGCTGGTTTCTCTCTACTGTTATCCTTTTTGTTTACAGTCACTGTGACCGGCCGGATACCGAACACTTTACACCTATAACATTAATGATTTAAATATTTAAGTTATTATTGTTTAAAATCCAAACAGACATGGTGACAATAAGCAGATGAAACTAAATGTAAATATTCCTTTTCTAATCTAATTTGAATAACAGAAATGGACCTTGAGTGTGCGTAATGTTTTCATGTGATTTTCACAATATGCTTTTGACAAACTGTACTTCAGACTTCCAGTTCCTGAGGAAAAAAAAAATACGTATGTTGAGTCACAAGATTGTGCATGTGTGTTGAAACATTTTAAAGGAAATGCGTGTTTTATGAGAAACTCAGACAAATGACAATAAATGGAAGTAAGAGTGCGTAGGAGGGGGGTCGGGGGGGGACGCTGGAGCCGGAGGCCGTCTGAGGCCTGTGCACTGCAGAATGTGTCCGGGCCTGTTCACCTTCAGTCTGTCAATGATTAGTGGGAAGTTGAATCGCAACTGCGGCGCTCCAACGCTTCACTCCTGCACTGCAAAGAAAGTGTTACAAGCTCATGCTGCTGTCATCATCGCCACCGGGCTCCCTCTGTGATCTGCTGTAGAGTCTGCATTAAAGTGCACTTTTAATTAGCCAAGTTTACGCTTCATTTTATTGACTGTCTGCGACACCAAAGCCAAAGTGTTCTCAAGCTTGATCGTGCTTATCACGCGACACGGTGTGCTAAAGTGCCTTTCTCTTCGTCGTTACAGTGTTACGTGGCCCAGGATGTCTTCGAAGGCTCAGAGTTCCAATAACCTCGCCCATGCCCGGCGAACGGTGCAGCAGCTGAGAATAGAGGCGAGCATTGAGAGGATAAAGGTAAAGCGCAGCAATAAACCGAATCCATGCTTATCTATTTTCTTGACATCCTCTTTTTTTAGTTCCATTTTAAATTTAACTTTTTGCGGTTAAATTTACAATAATATAATGTATGCTTCTGCAGAAGAACCGCCCATTGAGAAAATATAAGGACTTATTTTTGACAATGAAGAATGTAGAAACTCTTTCTTTGTCCCTTCAGGTATCCAAGGCCTCTGCAGACCTCATGAACTACTGCAGTGAGCACGCCAGAAACGACCCTCTGCTCATGGGCATCCCCGCCTCAGACAATCCCTTCAAGGACAAAAAACCCTGCAATATATTGTAGTAGACGCCACTTAGCATCCATGTGTTTCTTTTTGTGCTTATTAATGTTGCTGCATTCGTTCTGTTGGGAGGAGTGAGGGGTGGCCTGTGATTGTATCATTGCCATGTGTTCCACTGTTCTGTTATCAAGTCGGCCATTCAACCCGGAAAAAAAAAGGAGGCTCTGCTAGTTCACTTTGAGCTCTGACCACTAACTCTAGACTTTGGCTGCATGAGTTGCTGATGCATCAGGTACAGAATGTTATGTTCTGAATATTGTGACAACACAGTGATGGATTCGGTCCTTCCTGCTGTGTGTGCCGCCATCGGGGGAGTGTCTGTTACTGTCGCTCTGGTTTGCCTTAAGTAAATAGATTCATACGGCCAAAGTTTCCATTCAGTCCTCGTTGCCTTTTAAAGCGGATGATAGTGGCTCTTATCAGGTGGCTTCAGGCTTCCCAGAAGTATTTTACTGATTTTGAACAATGTCGATTAGCGAATTCAGTGAGCGTTTATTGTGACATTGCAGTGCCGAATAATCTTAATAGTTTTTACTTGTCAGCTGACTTTGTGTGCAGGGCAACACTGTGTAATAAAAACCCCGGGACCAAGTCAACGATACTGCGTCAAAACACATCTCGATATGCATCCGGATTTAACTATTTGTAGCCATTACTTACCCGAAGAATTTCTGCGGTACGCTATTTTTGGGACACATGCGACATAAAGCACTGTCAGCAAGTGTTGCACAACACTGTGAGTCGCGCTTTCCACCTCCTCACAAGTGTCTTAGTCGAGGAGATGTGGGTGTCGTGTGTTTGGTTCAGGTGCAAATGTTTTTTGTTTGTTTTTTAATTTAAACTAAATGTGTTTCTGTGGGGGTCTTAAATCTTCGGTCTAACATGTACTTCATGTTGTGATTCAGTAAATGTAACAAAAAACAGAATGAATAGTATAAATTAGGAATTTCTTACACTCTGAAGCCTTACTTATTTTTGCCTTGTGAAGCGTGAAGCCCAGTGCTTTCTTTAAACAAAAATAAAAATGAGTTTCTATCGTTCTAACGTTTTTATCTGAACATGATTTGTGACGGTATCGTGCCATCTGTTTCTCTGTGTCAAGCAAAACAAAGACGTAAGTTGTGTTTCACGTAACTGGTGCTCCTTTTGTTCAGCAGCTTTGGTATTGTTGCCCTCTCCAAAGGGCACTTTCAGGTCTTCAAATCAACAAAATCGTATCGTATTATTCAGTTGTATTAAATAATTGTCTCAAACAGTGTTTTTCCTTGCCATAAAGCACCCCGTATCCCTCCAAAGGACAAGTTCAGATAACTACTGCCATGTCACGATTTCTGTCCATTCAGCAACTCCGTAAATGCCTCATTGTTCCACTGATGTCTTAATTTAACTGTCAGATTCTGCGTTTTGATAAATGTCTTTATTAAAATACCAACCTTTATATGAAGACTTAACGAAGATTAATAAAGTGAAGCATTCCTAAAGTACAGTACTGTAATAAAATCTCAATAAAGATGTGTTCTGCTGCACAGTCAAAAGAATTTAATCATGACTTTTGGTATCTTCATCCATTTTACATATGTTTGGATTTTCAATGTAAACCTGATTTTGAATTGTTTGCTGTTCGTGTGGAGTCCGGCGTGAGAGATCTGCACACATTTCATGTGGGGCCACCTCCTCTCATTGGCCGTTTATTTATATCTCAGTCCGGATAGGACAGAAGTCCGACCTCTCGCCACGTCACGGCTGTCAGAAACCAAGCAAAAGGGCTAAATATAGAAAAGTACCAAACCCTGGTTTCCGCTCTCCGAGAGTGTATCTATTTTAGGAAAATGTCCGCCTGCCCCGAGTCTGTTGGTGGCCACTTGGGTCTCTCTGACCTTGTTTCTGGCCAACTGGTGGAATCACTATGTGTGATTTCCTCTGCACACAATGAGAAAATGACACGGGAATAATGCTCATTGTCACCTGTTGTAACAACTCCTCTGAGCCCCCTTTTTATTCACCCCCAAGGAGTGTTTCCCTCGTTGTTTTCTCACCGATTGTTGCGATGTCACTGCAGGAAAGGCCCTGTGCATCAGCGTTGTGCAGACAGCGTCACACCTTCACTGAAGAGACACAGGGGAGCGAATCAAGCCGCAGTCTCACAGGGATCCCACTTTGCCGCCATGCAGCAATGTGAGGATCATAGAGGCCGGCTCGCTGACCATGTGCCTCGCTGGAATTCTGCCTTGGCAGTTACAGTGTCAGTGTGTTGGAATGTGCTGATGAGGGGGAGAGGAAAGGGAGGGGAGGGTGAGGGCGGTGGGTGGAGTATGTGGGTTGACAGCAGTGGCACCTCTCCTCCTCCGGTAGGCTCAGCTGTCTGCAGACGGACAAAGCACAGGGCCCATTTTACCTTCGCTGCCAAGATTCCCATAGTCAGAATATATTATTCATGCCATCCACCCACCATCAGTGGTGTCAAGTATTTACTCGTCCGGTGTAACTTTGATGGACTTGTACTTAACTTGAGTATTTTGCCAGGGCTGCAGAGAAGGAATGTGTTACCCTTTTTTTTTTTTTTTTTAAACGGAACGCATGGCAGTCTCCAGCCCGTCTAACCAACCTGGGCTTTTACTTTATTCACTCATGCATTCATGATTTTACTTTTACCTGACATTGGTATGAATACTACAATGTAAAAATATTTGGTACTGTTTATGAATTCAGCTCAGTTTCAAATAGATAATTAATTAAGTAAATATTTAGATTTTCAATTTTGATTGAAATTTGAAGGCTTTTTCAATGTGTAACTACACCAAAACATGGAGTCACAGGTTTGATTAGAAGCTTATTAATGGTGAGGTCTTATTTAATCAAAATTGTTGTACACAGTACTACTTGAATTTGATGGTATTTTTTCCCTTTATCCCTGCAATCTTAACCTGGCGTTTACTTTTCCTCGCACCAGCATTACGTTCTGTGTGCTCTTAATCTTTCTATTCTATATGTATTACTCCACCGACTCGGGTTATACAATATGCTCCCCAGGTTTCAATACAGGTAACAATTCAAATGTCACCATGACTTATCAGATGATGAAATCCTACTGTATTTGAGTAATAATGCTTTACCTGAATCTTAACCCATATTAGCACTACTTCTTGAAATATTCTTTTCCCTTTGATAACACCACATGACGTAATTCAGCGTCACACCCTGCAGTCACACGCCAGACGACCTTTAACCCAGTGCCAGGGTCAGTTATGACACCTAGTCGAGTAACAGTCGTCAAAGAACATTTAAGGTATTAGCGTTTATTCAAACTATGGTTCGTCCGTTATTATTTAGTCTACAGACTTCATTAAGAATGTCAGTGCATTACATAAGGCCACGCACGTTGACTTATATTGTATACCGAAAAAACCTGGATGTGTTTAAAACCCCATCTCGATGCCTTTAACTCTTCGGGGGAAACCAGAGCACACAAAAAAAACTCATCCAAATCAAGCAAACTTCATTATTCATTATATGACGGCAGCATTAAACACCCAACATCACATGACCCGCTGAATTTGGTTGTGCAACTCAAGGACAGCCTCCCCCCCCCTCGTGATCATGACTCTGCACTTTCATGGGGGATTGCCTGCCTTACAATAGCACAGTGACGTCAGCAACATTCAACTGGAGCGAGATCACCTGCTCGTGTGTGCGTGCGTGTGTGGAAAAGAAGTCGGAAACTGAGCGGGGGAGTAAAGCGGTTGAGACCGACTTGCACATGATGTAATGCAAATAGCAGCATTACAAATAGTTTCATGTAGCGCCAGTCATGTGCTCGGCAGTCAGCTACACGCATTGTGGTCCTGATGGCCGAGGCCCACAGTGGCTCAAATACTCTGCTTCTCACGCGCAGACGTGCAGCTCCTGAGTGTAACGCCGTGTGTGAAATACAGGTGATATGCGGCCATATTGCGTGTGTCGTGTGCTCAGATGTCACATGCTCCTTTAGAGGAAGTCAGCCGGCGAAAACGCAAACTAAACTGTCCAACAAATCACGGAGAATCGGTGAAAAGGGAACCTGTGTCGATGAATGAACGTGGTCCTGCTGACCGAGGCAGAAGCCTGCGCAGGGAGAGCGCAGAGGATCATTGTTCTCTTCAGCTCAGAGATGACTCTGAGGCCACAGAGGCCACTGCGACCCCTGTGATCGGAGCGGGACTCTTTGTAACCGCCACTGATAAAAAGGTCACAATTCAGCTCGGCTTTACTAACATTTCCAGAAATGGAAATGAAAAGAAACACGCAGGTCCGGCTTGCAAAAAAAAAAAACTTTTTATTGACAGCAATACAGATGTATTCGGATTTTGCAAATATTTAAGGTAAAAAAAAAAATACATAAATACACTTAAATATCATTAGGAATAACTTAAATGGTAACAAATGTATTATCTTACTTGTGGCAAGAAAAAACAGCTGGCATAGAGAACACTAAATACACAGAATGTCTTCACTGGATATAACCCTTCCCTTTTGAAATTTTGACAATAGCAACGTCAACATTAAGAACTTTAATCAAATAGGTAAAATTGCAAAAGGTCCAGTGTCTCAACAAGTGCCTTGTTTCTGCACAGAGAGGCCGAGGCTTTGGTCCACTCAACAGTTCCAATTTCTGGTTTCTCCCCACTTATCTGACTCCTCACAGAGGCTTTACCAAACATACATGATATAATCCTTCTGTAGAGTGTCCGGCATCACGTGCTTCTTTTTTTTTTTTTTTTTTTTTAATTTCCACCCCATGACGAGGTGGAGAGCCTCGCCATCTCCTCTTGGCTGACAGATGCAACAGACAGTCCCGTCCCAAGTGGAAATCCATCCCATGCCTCTCGTTTCCCCTTCTTTAAATAGATCCCAGGTAGACAGCGGGGTCTTCCTTTACCTCCAAATATTTCTTTCCCCATAAGCAGTGCTTTGGAATTTTGATCTCTGGGTGGTCAAGTGTCCACCGGGGTTCACACCACTCTAACTTTGCAGATACAAGTCCTTTCACAGGTTTTTTGCAGATTAAAGTTCATCGCTCGGGCAGGTTGATGATGGGTACCCACTGGTCCATACACCGGCTTTCTCTGCAGAACCGGTTCACTTTGCTCAAAGCTGGGTCCTTCCATGACGTGGAATGTGGGCTCTGAAAATGGAAAAGAGAATGAATCATCTTCTTGCATATATTTTCATTTATATGGCGCCTACGTGCGTGCAGATACAAGGTATTTCCTAGCAATTAATATGAGGTAGGAGTCATACACACGTTTACCAAATGCAAAAGTACTGACAAGTTCTCATGTGTACGACCCAACACTTTGCAAGCTTCATTTCGGTGTAAAAGGTGATAGATGAGAAAGCATCCTTACAGTGACCAGGACGCAGTGCAGGTCCATGGGTTCCCCCCCGCTCTGCTTTCCTCCTGCTGCCCCCCCCAGGATCTCTGCCAGGCGCTGCGTGTTGTTCACTCTCAGGATGTTGATGTCGTTCTCGCAGCAGAAAGCTTGAATGAGGGTGAAGTGGATCTGCAGGGCCACATCTTTCACATCTTCGTCATCGGTGGCCAAGATGCACAAAACCACATTGTCGGGGTCCCTGCGGAGGGGAAGAAAGCAGATTCCTTCAGTTGGCCTGTCAATAAATCCCCATTGGTTCGTCTTCTCGCAGAGAGACACCGGTCAACCGTGGAGCGTGTGTACAAGCCGGTACTTACACGTTGAGGGATTTGGCAGCCTCGTACACTCCGATGGTGATGCTGCCTTGCGGCAACGCGGAGGTGAGGACTTCTTCCAAAGCTTTCGCCACTGAATCCATTCTGCAACACGGAGGCAAACAGTTTGTCATTAACATCGTTAAAAAATAAATAAAGATAAAAGTTCCCCTCAGGCTAACGTTAGCCGCGAGCTAGCTAGCTAGCTTGCTAGCCGGTCGCTTCAGAACGCAACTGACAGACGTGCGCAGGCTGACTTCGCCACGTAGGGGAAAAAAAGGGCAAATGTTTTCAACAACGAGGTCTGAAAACCTTGTTGACAGCTGGAGGGAGGAGGGGAAGTAAACCGGCACGCTGAAAACCGTCACGTCAATTCTCCTGAAACTTGTTGTCCACCTTTGAGCAGCTTCGCGGTGAGTTCGCCACCGCCGGTCGTCTAACGGGGGAGACGGTCTCGCGCCGCGGTCTCAGGTCAGTTAGTTAACCGGTGAGTCAGAGAGGCTTTTAGTGAAAGTTAAAAGACTAAAAAGTCCGGTCTTTGTCGTGCATTAATATAGTTGGACACGTATTGTTGCGGCACACAAACTATTTCTGCAAAAAAAAAACTGCGTTGACTCCGGTATCGTTACACTAGAATAAATTATAATGCACATCATTTACCTTTCTTGAGAAAAGTCCCCACTTAGTTCTTCAAATGTCATGTTGTACATCAAATCCAAATTGCACTTCACAGCCGAGTAGTTTGCACTGGCGAGTTATTCTGGTCTCTTCCCGATAGAACTCACACACACGCACTTTCATCCGTAGTCCACTGCGCTGCAACTGAGAGATGAATCTGGCAGCTTCACATTAAGAGCCGCACTGGACAAGTCAAGAGGTTCATTTGCATGGCTCTGATCATTGGTCGCGTCCCCATCGCGGCGTGTGCGTGATTGGACCGTCGCACAGCGAGAGGCGCGTCCTCTCCCCCCCCCACCCTTCCCTCCCGTGGTTACCGGTTGCTACCGTAACTGCAGCTGCCTGCGGGCCTCTAAATGCAGTAAAAAGACCCACTACGCCGTTAATGTTATGATGCACAGCTGTGAGGATGAATTCATCGTAAAGAACACTTGCGTGCGTGTTTGCATTTGGAGAACTTTGGACGAAGCAATGAGTGAATAACTTGTTGCAGAACTCCCTCCTTTGCACAGCAGCACCCCCTAGCGGCCAGCAGAACCTCTTCGTCTGTCCTGCACGACACTTCCACACCGAACACTTTCATATGCTTTTAAAATAGAGTTGTAGTTGAAAACTACATTAAAGTTTGTGCAACACTTGTTAGCACTTCCGGTTTGGACTGTGCATACAGACTAGAGTCCGGAGCTGGTGGTCAAGATATGGGGACACTTGCTGATGTCTGACAGTGTCTGGAGATCAAACAACAGCATCTTAACATGAACACTTGTCTTGCCGTATGAAGAAACCCGGCACAATCAACGCTTTATTCCCATTTTGATTTTTCAATAGACTTTTAGGTTCTGCATCTTCAGTTCGTTGTAGTTCATTCTGTCAATGTGATGTAAATTCAACTTCTGCACTGCTTTAAAAAATGTTTTCAACAACACTTCAATGTTTGATGAATGTTTGTATTTCCTAGTGTCAGTTTCCATAATATTTCTCATATGCGTGAGGGAAAGATACATCTTGGTGATTAGTACAAGAGTAGAATGATTATAATTTTTTTTGTAATCTACCCAATGTTATCTTGCTGAGTCAATCAATCACTTGGTTTGTATAATATGTAAAAAAAAAAAAGCCACACAGTTCCTATAAGCAGTTCCACAGACACGTATGTTCTGTTTAAAATGATATTAACACAAAATAAGCATAACACCCATTGAACTTAGCTGGAGAGGCCGACGAGACCAAAACACCGCATGACAAACTAATTAACCAGTTCTAAAAATTGTCTATTGATTAATTAATCCATTATTTAGACACCAGGCTAGATTGATTCCGAGTACTTAATTCGTGCAGAGAGATGTCTGAGGCGGTGAGATGATGCCATGCAGTGGCTCTTATGGGATGTTATGCTGCCTCCTAGTGGATAAAGTCAAACTCCAAAAAGTAAAGGACCACCTGAACACTCCAACGCAGTACACGTTGTACCCAGCAGGCTATGAGAGGTGGGAATACACATTTACTCAAGTATTGTACATGACAGGTACTTTACTCAAGTATTTAAATGTAATGCTGCCTCACATTAAATCTTAACAATAATTAAATCGTTAATATATGGATAATACTATAATAATACTATACCATTAATTATCGTATTTAATTGGAATCATGTTGGGGTTAAATATATCAAGATATTGTGATTCACGATTGAGTTTTCTAAATTGATTGAGCACACTCACTTTTTGTAATGCTGATCTGTGATCAGATTATTTTGCACTTTTGCAAAATATGTATGAAAATACTTCTTTACATTTGTCGTGTCAGATGACGTCTGCCTTCAGTAGGGGGCAGCACCGTCACACCTCACACGAAGACTGTTTACTCATATTTTACTACTTTGCCAAATTCAAACCCCTGGTCTCTAAAAAAACATCAGCATAAGTTTCATTCATCAAATCACATTGTATTTATATTTAGTCAGTATATTACTATCCATAACAGTTGGTGTTGCTGTGTGCAGCTGATTGAAAGTCAATTAAGCATTTCAGTGTAGCTGCATTCTGTCTACAGTGTAACAATTCAAGGAGTCAAGGAATTTATTGTCAAGGAATTTATATGTATTGAACAGCCACCGGTTTCTATGCAGTGGTTAGTTAATACACCACATTTTTCATTCCATCCTAATCTAACAAGGCAAACAATTACAGAAAACAAACAATAAAGTTCAGGATGCCAAAACAATTTAAATAAAAGTCAGTCCATCAGTTTTATATTAAAGTAAATATGTATGGTAGTGTATGTGTAATAAAGTCATAGTTTAGAAAGTTTCAAAAAAGTTATGGTTTAGGGTGTAGACAAAGAGAGAAAAACGTTATAATAGATTTAAAAAAAAAAACAAGTTTTAAAGAAAATGACATAAGTCATATATGTTGTGGAAGATGTTTTGTCAAAAGTGATGTCATGTAAGGAATGTCATGGACATTTGCATATTTTATAGTTCGTCACTAAAGATTTCAAAAAGTCAGAATTTTGTGCATCTTGAAAAATGGCACAACATTTCACAGTAAAGGCACGTCTTGGAAAACATCCTTGAAAAATGTTCTATTGTGTGTCTCTCTTTGTCATTGAGTGTGAGTGGTGGATGTTGGCTGTGATGTTGTTTGTGCTCATCTGTTCCATGTTTCTTTCTTATTTTGGTCTTTCTGACACATATTTCTTAATCCCTTTTGTTCCCGTGTTTCCACATACGCTCTGCTGTCCATCACCGGGGCCACAGGAACCAGGGAACAGGTGATCTAGTAGTCAGGCGACTCGGACGGTTGAAATTCCCTTTTTGGTGGCTGAATTTCTGTACCGCTTGTCTGTAGAGGTGTGATATGTCCCCATGATGTGATTGATAGACATGTACGCTGCACACAGACTTAATATGTGCAATATACACATCAGCCATTTGCTGTGATGTGGTAAATTTCACATCCCATCCGGACAATTTTGCTCTTTATCTGATGCACCAAAAGTCTTTTTAATAAGGTCACATGGTTCTTCTGCAATGCAGGACAAAACTTATTTTATTTTTTTTACTGCTCTGGTGATATGAATCTAAGTAGAATCCACGTAATATGTGAGGTGTTGATTGAAATAGATGTTTTACTACCCTTTAACGATCACTGATATCAAAGAATCATCTGCAGCCAACGCAGTTCTCAGACTTGTCCAGCAGAGGGTGATAGATATCAGATATTAGATCTACAAATGCAACTGTCCTGTCTAGTCAGCAGTACAGAGACTCATTTTATTGTGTACATTATCATCACATTACAGGTTTAGTGGGTTTTATCAGAGGGTTTATTTGGCTTGAAGGTGCATCAGAACTGACATGTTGCCGGGTTTATTCATTGTAGGGAACAGAAGCACATGCACAGATATTTAAACATTTTGAGGGTTAAATAAAAGGTCCTACACGGCATCTTAGTGAACCTGCGCACTGAAAAATAAGTGGCTTAAAAGCACCGGAACATCATATTTGGAATGTAATCTAATTGAATGATTCTCCAAGAATCTACTTTACAAATATGCACCTGTAAGACACACCTACACAAAGGGGCACACGTCACCTCTAGATCCAACTTTCACTGTGCACAGGGACAAGAGAACCAAAAAAAACACAAAGGTCCAGCGCTCCTCAGTACTTTGAAATACCAGTATGTCCGATACACTAAGGAATTGTTCAGTGCATCATTAACAGTTACGTATCAAAGACAGTACAAGATCCGCCATTGATCTACACATCGCACCATACACTACACTTGTGTTTGCCTGTGCACTTTATTATTTTTTAATTTATATTTTCTTTATTTTAAATTGAATATGTTATATTTCCTGCACTGTGTTTATTTGTCTTGTTGTCCAATGTCTTATTGTCTTATTGTCCTTGTATGTCCAACATACTTTGACAATTAATGTTTCTGATTTCTGATTCCTGATAATACTGTATTATCAACAAAAACAACATTAATGATTATAATCATAACAAAAATATCAATATCAATAATTACAATTATACAGTAACAACTGATTAATCTAAATTTAGCTTCCAAAAGCGAAAAAAGCGAAAAGATAAATTAATATATATAATGATGGTAAAAAACATGAACAATTATCAATTCTGTAGTGCTTCAGTAATCAAAAATGTGGATTCCTCCTCTAAAAAGAAGTGTAAAAGAATCAAAATTTTATCTCCATCAATTAATGTGTAACATTTACTATTAAGCTGCGGTGAATATTATTCCTTTCTGACTCCAAAGTAAAATAGTTTTTTTCAACGTTCTTTATCTGTCAGTTGACCTTGATGTCATATTTGAAATATAACACCAGCGTCTAGCAAAATATGTTTCGATGGCACAGCAGCTTTGAGGAAGAAACTGAATCCCATTTTGTCGAGATTCCCCTGATAAACATAAAACTGAAGTAAAAAAAATGCAAACAAATGCTCATGAATTTGACAGGCCTATAATTTATCAGGGGACATTCTCTAATAATGTACTTTTCTTTGCAAATTTAACATGGGCCCACCGCTGGGAGAGAAATGGGACAAGGTGGGCAAGCTGAAAGCCCTAAGACTCAGACTCTGACAACCGTGATGAATGCAGCAGGCGCTGACACGGCTACGGCACAAGACAAAAGATACCTTTGTCTTGTCACAATAATCCTAATCTGTTTGAAGATGGGGCCACATTAGAGAAAGCAAGAGAGAAAGTAAGAAAAAACCCCACAGAAATGAAAGCAGATTTGTGGTCAGCAGTGATAAATGTTGCTACATCAGGAGTAGAGCTCAGTACGATGTTTCTCTTTAATGGCCTGATTGCTCAATTAATTCTGCGGCCCGTTCTTTGCCGGCCCCCTTTAATGTGGTAACAGCCATATCTTCCCCCAGATTAGTATAGATACAGGCTGACAGTCTCCGCTGCTCAAGGTATTTGGGAGGTACAATTCATTCATAAAACTACAATGCGCCCCATCTATCATCTCAGGTTTTTCATCCGCTAACTTGCCGCTTGCTCCCTTCTCTCATTTCAAGCTCCTGGCTCTTCTGGGGCGGAGTGTGTGTGTGTGTGTGTTGTGTACGTGTGCGTGCATATACGCGATTTAGCAGTGGGAGGTAGAGTTGTGAGAGGTGTTAACATA